GATCCTGTGAGGCAAAGGCCTTTCTTTGCTAAATAAACTCTTTTACTGAAGTTAAGAATGAGGTTTTTGGAGGCATTTTTGCTCAGGGTCCGGCACTATGAAGTGATGACCCTTCCTGGTAAACCTGGAAGCGCTTGTTAAAGCTGGATCTCATTTCACAGAGTTCCTTTGCACCGCTTCTGGGCGCCTCGGCCTGTCCTGCTTCCCACGCCTTGGTCTTTATTCACTGGAAACTGTTATTTTGTACTTCCCTCGGAGCAGGTTCCCGGCACCATCCTCGCAGGGGGAATACAGTCACGAACGACTATTCAGTGGGGAGTTAAAGAGACAATAAAAGCAGACGTGTAGGAATTTCAGGATCTTTATTAAATAGGTTGGTTTAGAATTTTACCATTTTGATGTAGCCAAATTGACTTATTACTGTACATGGCAGTGTAACATTTTGGTCTATAATTTACCTTTTGACACTTTAATACATTATATTGTAATCTAGGATCTTATACATTGGAAATTATACATTGAGGTGCATAGGGCTTTTGGGATTATAAACCTGCGAAGGGCTGTTTCTGGAGTGTAACGTGCATGTGGGTTTGGACATTTAATTTACGGTAGGGGTTCCTCATGTGAGTGTTCTGATCAGCAGGTTCTATGATCTCTTGCTCCTGCGTATTTCAGTGGCAGGACCGTCCGTTGAACAAGGCCGCGGGCTGAATGTGTGTGAAGTCGACTGTTGGTAGCTTATGTGGACGTGAGCAGTACTCCTGTTTCAAAAGACATTTCTCTTTTCTCCTTGTTTGTTTTTTTAAGAAATGTAAAACCTAAACTTCCTTATTATATTGTTTTATCTAGTGCTCATCTCCAGTTGATTTTACCTCCATGGGGTTGTTTTTAAATCCATCTGACAGAATGAGCATCAGACACTCTGGGTTTATACTGATTCTTCCCAGCACCACGACCCCTTCTTTAAGGTGCCCCCCCTTTATTTCCAGCTCTTTCTCCGGTGCCTGTGTATTGGGCTCTGTCCTGGACTCGGGGGTATCCAGTTACCCCCAAATTCTCCCTGGGCCCACGTGGCTGAAGTTAACCTTGGAGTCGCCCCAGGTCACCAGCCGACATTCAGTTTAACGAGCCCCCTGGGGGCCTGTTACTCAGAGCCGTCAGCGAGTCGGCCTCGGGCAGAGGGACCCGGGAGCTCCCGGCGGGCTGCCTTTCCCGTGGCGGACCGGAGCGAGGACGTGGCAGTGCCAGCAAAGGGGCTTTGTTAGCCGTGCCAGGAGCCAGTCACAGCCCGCGCTCCCCGCCGCCCTGTGCTGGGCGACCGGGCCCTGGACGTGACCTCGTTTTCCTCCTGCGGCCCTGTCCTGTGAAACTGAGGAGCGGAGAGGCTTCTGGTTACATCGCAGGCAGCCGTGGGCGATGACCTCATTGTCTGTCTCCTTTCTCTCTGTTTCTCACATGCCCCGCGGCTGACGGAGCAATGAAGTCGGG